TGTGCACTCGTGCGCGCGCACGCACACACACACACACACACAGAGCAAGATCTAGATGGAGGGAACATAGTAAATGGACACTTATAGTTGGTCTGAGATTTCCCTTATCTGACCTGCATTCCTGTACTAGAAATTCTCAGTTGACAGACACTGTTTTTTATTTAGCCAGAGCAAAATACACAGTAATACCTAACTGCATGCATGAATGAATTTATAACATGGCGTAGGTATGTTCTCACTGAGCAAAATTCCTTACAAGTATTCGAGAAATATGAGCCAGGTAGAGTCAAGATTTCAGGGGTAAAATGTCATACAAGTTGCTTTATGTACTGGAGGAAAGAATTCATTATTCTTTGGCTCCTTCATGTCAATTTTCCTCTGGTTCCTCGTTTCTCAAGGTTTACCCTAAAGGCCAATTCTCATTGCTTCTTCATGCTTCCATTTACCTTTTTCTGGTATCCAAAGGCTAATCTGCCTACTCATTCCAAATGGAGCTAACCATGCTCTGGTTTGTCTCTGCATACATTTGTTCTGCCTTATTTGTCTGCAGTATTCTCAGGGGACCCTGCCAAATTCTAAGCGTTGGTTCAATGCATACATTTTACCTAGCCTGTACTCACTTCCTTTCCTTATCTGTTATGGCATTTCTCTGTATCCCTTTCCAGGCAACCCCTCTCCCTGTTTCTCTACTTATTACCCACATCCCTAATCTGAGCTGGTGAATGAGAGCTCAAGAGCCATGATAATGAGGTTCAAATTTTAGTTGGGAACAAGGGAGACTCTGAAGAGTAGCCTTATTCTCTAACTTTCCTAAGATTAAAAAAAAAGAAGAAAAAAGTTAAGTGTAGCATCCTTCCTACTTCACATCCCTGTGAGTTGTCGTTTCCTCCAGTTGCACATGGGAACTTTGATTTCATTAATGCACTTGACATTCAGTAAACTCCTAGTATGTGACAGGCATTTTGCTGAGAGATTGATTGATAAGGACTAATGAGTCATGGCCTGATCTCTGTAGGAACTCACACTCCGTCAGCGGAAACAGCCTCTCCAACACTATGTAATAGAGGAAGGAAGGGATGGCTGTAGGGGGAGGGGAAGGGCCACAGAAAGCTACCCAGTGGAATCCTGTGATGCTCAAGATTTCCTGGAATAATTGGAAGGTTCCAGCTTTGTAGTTGGAAGGGGGAAGAAAAAAACAAGAACAAAAAAATTCTCTTGCTTGTTTTCACTTTTCTACTTACTAATTATACAGATTTAACATTTCTCTCTGAACCCTGTGTTTTCCTTCTGTAAAATAGAGAAATACCTGTCCTTTAAAGCTATTGAACATATTAAATAAACAAAATGCTCATTGAATCCCTGGAATGAACACAGGGTACCTTTAAAGAACAATAGCTCCCTCTTACCATTAAGCCAAGTGTAAACCTCTCCAAGTAATATCCTTTTAAAGAAGCTAAGGATAAAGTGCTGATTTAGTCCATTCCTGCTGATATCACAGAATCCCATAGCCGTGGTAGCACGTAAACAACAAAAATACATATCTTGTGGTTCTGGAGAATGGAGAGTACAAGGTCAAGGTGTTGGCAGATGTGGTGTCTGCTAAGAACTTGATTCCTGGTTCACAGAAGGTCAGCTTCTCACTGTGTCTTCAAATCACAGAATGGGTTTGGGGGCTTTCCTGTCTCTCTTTTATCAGAGCACTAATGTCAATCATAAGGGCGCCACTGACCTAAAGACTTCCCAAAGCCTCCGCTTCCAAATATTATCACATTGGGGATTTGATTTCACTATATGAATTTTGGAAACACATATTTAATGTATTTCACCAGTTGTTTTGAATAAGACCTTCCAAGGAAACTCTTGTATCTCATATATGAAATCTACTAACTGATATTGAATTCACAGCTTCCAAATTTATAAGAAATCTAAACAACAATCGAGATAGCTCCAGGTCACACTAAGGCATTCATTTCCCCAGCTTCCAAGAATATTGGTGGACCACTGTTCCTCCATTGAGTTCTTCCTGAAACATTGAAAAGGACCAGTTCATCCAAGGTTATGTGTCTTCACCAGCAATAGTCTACTACCTATGAATGGCCAGTATGGAACTACAAAGGCTCATCTTGATTTCAACAACTCCAGAGGACCATCTAGTACCAGAGCACCCCAGAGGATCAGCTGTGACCACATGATAGCTTGACTTCTCAACCCAATCTTACTTTGCTCACTCTTTATAAGAATGTACCCCCCCACCCCCAAACCTCTCAGATGTCTGTGTGTGTAGACGTTTGAATCTGTTTGCTGGTGTTTTGGGCCTAAGTCAAATTCACTGTGCCTTATGTTTGGGTTTTTTTGTTTTTGTTTTTGTTTTGTTTTGTTTTATTGGTTATGGGCTTCAACTCAAGACCTGGATACTGCCCCTGAACTTTTCTGCTCAAAGCTAGTGCTCTACCACTTTGAGCCACAGCTCCACGTCTGGTTTTCTGGTGATTAATTAGAGATAAGATTCTCATGGACTTTCCTGCCCTGGTTGGCTTTGAACTGTGATCCTCAGATCTGGGCCTCCTGAGTAGCTAGGATGACAAGCATGAGCCACCAAGACCCAGTTGTGTGTCATGTGATCTTTATATGAGTCCCGGAAGGGGAATTTATATCCATGCTTTTCATAGGCAGTGACTACAAATTGGTTTTCTGGCCCAAACTTACAGAGCGAGTAAGTAACTCAGTGAGGACCTGAACTCCTCTTTTGCTGACTGCTCCCTTTATCATTGCTCAGTGTAGCTTTCCTATAGTAGCTGGATTAGCCAAATTCAGCCCTGGGACACAATTCAATATCCATTCCTCAGTCTTTAGTGAGAATAAATACAAGAATTATCCATTTAAACAGCATGACTGTGCTTTTTAAAAGAAAAATCTGCAGTTGAAACTGGTGTTCGCTGCCTTGCTCAAGGACCCATGTGATCTGTTTCTGCTTGGGCTTTCTTCCAGTGGGGGAAATATGGCTTTGCAGATAGATTAGCATATCTTCACTTGCCAGAAATTTTGAAATATGGAATCCTACAGTCTCCTTTAAAAAAATTCTTTTTCTTTTCTTTTTTTTTTTCTCCCCGCTTTAGCTTCCGAGGACTTTAGGACCAACTTCAAATGTGGTCATTTCCTTATCTGAAAGCCTGATGCTATCTCTCCCTGTTGCTTCTTACAGATGCCTTTTGCATCCCCAGAGAAAGCTGTGCTGTCAAATGGGAATTCATCTTGTAGGGTAACATAAATCATGTCCCGTGAGTCAGAGAAGATAAGCAAGTCTGCCAGGCCCTTGCCCTTTGCAGAGAAACGTCTCCACTCATGGCCTCAGAGGTTCTGGCAGCCAGGTGTATGTTAACCCTCTTCCCTGGCCATTTCCCATTGGACCACAGGAAATCACCTGACCCAAGACAAATCCAACCATAAACCAACAGCAGAGACCCATGGGGCCTAACAGAGAGGTCCCTGTCAAACTCATATGATACTTACCAATGGAGGCCCTCTTTGGGGGATTTGAATTATATCATTAGAAAGATTGGTTTTGGTTGATATAGGAAGAGAAGGGCAGACACAGAAGAGAGTCTGGGTCACATTAATTATAGAGCAGTGTTTTGTTCTCTGTGTAAAAGGTTCCTTGATCAGCCAGTTCCCAGCTTTGTGAAGCTGGGCCCTATTTGGCTTCATACTATTCACCCCACAAAATGCCTTCATTTCTGCTATCTACATATTCCACCATTTACAATCCATATGCATTCATCTTGAATGAGCTTCTGTTTCCTGCTCTCCAAAACTGTGTCTGCATATGTGTATGTACAGCTGTATACAATGCATATGTACCTGTGTATAATTGTGTAGTGATACAATTATTGTATTACAATTGGTATTATCTAATATAATATCACATATATGTGTATGTGCGTCTATGTTATTTATCTGTCTATATGAGTTAGTGAGAAGCATTTCAGAACAAAAAGTCCTACATGAATCTTCAGGAACACATTTAAGCCATTATTTTAAAAACTGGTTGGTTACACTAACAGTTTCAATTTTCAATCCCCCTGGAGGACAATCTGATCTGGTGCCACTGGATTTTAGTCCCAGGTGGTGAGAGCAGGCAGGAGCTGCTTCCTAGCTGTTCCTTTAGGATGAATCCTCTCATGTCCCTTTGATCCTCAACCTGCCTGTCCTGTTATTTCTCAGCATCAGGCATTTTGGGCATATTTTTTGTAAAAGTGCAGGAGATTTCTTTGAAAAACTCTATGATTTTGTCTCTTATTATCTGTCTCTATCTCAGAACCAAAAAAAAAAAGTGTTCTTGGAGTCTATCTCAGTGGTAGAAAAGTTTTCTAGTAAATGCCAGGCTCCGCATTTAATGCCCCCCCTCACCATAACAAAAACAAAAATCACAACACACGCGAGGGAAGTAGGCCTGGATGTTATTTCTGTTACACACAAATCAGTCTTTCTCACAGATGTCACCAACATAGCCACTTTGGGGCATTTGTGACCATGTTCCAGGGGGGAAATACCATATGACAGAGACATTAACTTTTATTTTCTTTTTTTAAATTTAGCACTTAATTATTCTTTACTAGAACAAGCCAGACACTGACTAAGCACGTTATCTACATGAATCTGCTTCATTCCATTAGCTGAGGTGGATCTTATTAATATTTCCATTCACAGATGAAGTTGTCAAAGCCCAGAAGCAACAAGTGGCCAAGAAAAACATACCCAGGATCTGAACCCACGTCCCCCTCAGCTTAAGCCTACTGTTATACACTAGGTTGTCCTGTGCCTCATTTTCCTCTGCTCTCTTAATTTCTAGCACCATCCTGGAGCAGGTGAAGGTTCTGCTAATGTTTTTAAACAAATGAGATTAGCCGGAGAGGGGATGCTAGCTTGTAAACACCTTTATAGTATGAGCAGTGGTACTCTGAAACATGGGAGAAAATAGTGGTCTCTCTCTGTTTTCCTAGGGAGCAGCTTCGTGGTGAGTGAAGGGAGCTATCTGGACATATCCGACTGGCTGAACCCAGCTAAACTGTCCCTGTATTATCAGATCAACGCCACCTCTCCATGGGTGAGGGACCTCTGTGGGCAGAGGACAACCGATGCCTGTGAACAGCTCTGTGACCCAGAAACTGGTAAGCCGTGGGCCACGGGGCTGGAGACAGAGGGATCTGGGGAGAGTAGGGGTGGAAGGAAGGTCTGCATTCCTCTTCCCAGAAGAATTCTGAATCATTGACGAAGACTTGATGTAAATAAAGGTCTATGGTCTTCTAACTTAAAGCGTATGCTGTGTATTACCATCTCCTGGTAAGGGAGAAAATAGTTAGAAATCACAGAACGTCAAAGTTAGAAAAGACCACAGAGAACATTTAGGTCAACAGCTGCAATGCAGCATGTCCAAATGACACAGATCCAATCTGTTCCTTGCTACCCGAGCATTCTTTAGCAAGATCCTGGGCATCTTCTAGAACCAGACAATGAATCTAACCTGTGGATGAATCTAACCTGTGAGCCTGCTGTACACATTAACTGAGATAAGACCTGGAAAATTCTTAGGATTGTGACTTGTGCATTCATTTCTCAGGTATTTCATGGATAGCCGGGTACATTTTTAGTTATTGAGGATCCTGAAGTGACCAAACTAGGCAAAATGTCTGCCTAATGAACTTAGAGATAGGCAAATATGCATGGTCTCTCTCGTCTAGGAGCCACCAGCCATACGTGTCTGTTTATTGTAAATTAATTAGAATGGAATAAAATTAAATGTTCATATCCCTAGTTAACTAGCCAAATTTCAAGTGTTTTATGGCCTCCTATGATTATAGACTACTACCTTTTCATACAACACAAATACATATATACTACTTGGAAAGTTTCATTTGAAAATGCTGCAATAGACAAATAAGTAAATGTATGTATTGTGTGGACAAGGGAGGAGTTGTCAGTATACAGAGTAGTCAGGGAAGGTCTCTTAGAGATGGTGACACTTGCATAGGTAACTCAAATATAAGACTTGCTCTATGGGGAATGTTAGTAGTAAGTGTATAAGTATCCTTTTATTCTGATCTAGGCAAAAGTTGGTAGTGACTTGAAACATGGAACTGAAGGAGAATCAAATGGTAATAATTATCATACCCAGGATGATATTGACTCTAGGTTTGATCAAATTTGCTATTATGTATGGGATGAGACAAATAGAGTAGACTCAAATGAAAACTTGAGCTATTATTTTGTGTGTGTGTGCGTGTGTGTGTGTGTGTGTGCGCGTGTGTGTGTGTGTGTGTGTGTGTGTGTGTGTGCGTGTGGTTGTGGGGCTTAAACTCCAGGCCTGAGCACTGTCCCTGAGCTCCTTTTGCTCAAGGCTAGCACTCTACTACTTTGAGCCACAGCTCCACTTCCAGTTTTCTGGTGGTTAATTGCAGGTAAGAGTCACAGATTTTCCTGCCTGGGCTGGCTTTGAACTTTTGTCCTCAGATCTCAGCCTCCTGAATAGCTAGAATTACAAGCATGAGCCACTGACAGCTGTTATGAGCTATCATTTCTTCAGTCAGAGGATGCCATGAGAGAGGTGGCAGGTGGGGAAAGGGGACAATAAAGAACAGTGTTCTGAATATGAGTTCAAGATGACTACTGAGCCTCTTGGAGTAGAAAAGGAGAATGGGCATTTGGCTCTTGGCCTGAGAGCCCCAGCTACCTTGGTGTCCAGTTCCAGGGCAGCTAGTAACCCTGTCCCCACAGGAAATGAGTGGATAGCTTTACAATGCACCTTCCATGGAATACTCAGTAGATCTGGTGGAAAGAATGATTTCTTGTTGTCTGAAGTGTGAGTTCCTTACACAGAACATGTCCTTCTAGGAAGGATGGTCTTATCTAACCATATCTACTTCATGCCTGCCTAAATATTTTCTCTGGTGTTTAGAGCCCAAGTTTTTCTTCTCTACATTATGTTGGGAGAAAATACAATCTGGGGTAATTTGGTCTTTAGATGAGAGGCACACATGTAGTCCACTCCTCCCCCACACACAATAGGAAATAAACTCAAAGACTTATTCTATTATACATCCTGAGCTGGGAGGATGGAATGAGTCAGGAAAGAGGTCCTTCACCCCAGTCCTAGAAGATAGGAATGAGGAATCGGGCAGAGGGAAGAGGTGAGGGAAGTCGATAGGAGTGTATTTAGAGAATATGGTATGAATCACTTCAAATTTACCAGAAAATGTTCTAATGATCCACATAAAGGAAGTATCAGAAAGGCAGAGAAACCTGGTCTGTTGCTGAGGCAAGATGCCTCTGAGTTCTTACCTCTAGCATAAGCATTGTGGCATTCAAGTGCTGATGCTCATGCATGATAGGCATTTGGCTTGACTACACTGGATATTGGAAGGGGTGTTAGAGGCCCTCCGCCACCTATGCCTAGGGCGACTGAGCCAAGCTTCCCATACAAAAACATTTTTAAAGGGAAACATGTAAAATATAAGCAAAAGCAGCACAAAATTGTGAAGGTTCACTTCAGGTCCGTAAGTCAAAGAACAGGTTTTAGCTGAAGTTAGAAATTCACTATCAGATATTGCTTAGGTGGTGTTTAAATCCAAGAGAAAATGTATGAGTTATACAAAATGCTCAGCATATGGACAATACTATATTTGTAATGAGTGTGTCAATAGATACGACTTCCTCATGTCTAGAGGGAAACAGGAGCCCGAGAGAGAGGAAAGGACTTGTGAACGTTACAAAGGAAGTTAGGAATTGAGCTGAGATTAGAACTCAGGCCTCCTTGCCTCCAACCCTTTGTTCTTTTCTACCAAGTATATTGGGCTCTTTTCTCTTGAATTTTATTCTTTTTCTATAAAATCTAGTCAGACAAGAGATTTTATCTTTCTTGCTCTTCGTTTTTAATGTACCTATAATGTACTATGGGACTTATTTTGTTTCTTTGTATGTTCTTCCCCCATGGTATAACCCCTGTTGTCATTGTATTTGATGCTGGTAACCTGTATCTTGTATATACATTTTTCTAATTTGGGGAAGAGAAGGGAAATAACAAAATGCTGTGATAAGGATACAGGATGACCCATTGTAACAACCAGCTGTATAAGACACTATGTTGAAAAGGAACTTTACAACTTTGGTGAGCAGGGAGGGGAGTTGGGGAGGTGGGGAGGAAAGGGATGGTAGGGGAAAAACAAAAACTCAATAGGAAATGGACTCATTACCTTGCTCATGTAACTGTAACCCCTCTGTACAGTATCTTTACAATTCTCTCTCTCTCTCTCTCTCTCTCTCTCTCTATATATATATATATATATATATTCTCTTTCTTCTCTCTCTCTCTCTCTCTCTCTATCTATCTATATATATAAATCTGGACAGATGCCATGATGATAGCCATTGAGCAGAAGGAAATAACTGCTCCATAGAATGACCCAGTTCAGGTGTCAGTTTATTTTTTTAATGAGAATTCTTCCACTTCTCAAAAGAACCGTAGTTTAGATGTATGGAAAGCTCCTCATAGCTAATTATGAAATCTTTGTAGCATAGAGCAAGGAGTTGGTTTCACACGCAACAGACCTTCTCATTATTTAGCCAAGAACTTGCTTAGATACATCTTTACCACTTTTCACAGGTCTGTTGTTTGGAAAGGCAGCACAGTGCTTGTGTACAGTTAAGGCCTTTTCTCTTAATTAAGACTTTTGGGGGAGGTACTTAGTTTTGAACTTGGGGCCTTGTGCTTCCTAGACAGGTTTCAACATCTACACTCATGCTTCAAGGCCTTGCATATATACCTGTGCTGGCCTAATCTCGCACAGTTCCATTTATACTTCCCTCAAAGCTGGAATGACAGACATAGGTTATTATGTCCAGCAAATTAAGACTTTTAGAATACAGACACCAGTGGCTCATGCCTATAATCCTGTTTATTCAGAAGGCTGAGATCTGAGGATCATGATTTAAAGCCTACCTGGGCAATAAAGTCCATGAGACTTGTACCTCCAACTGATCACTACAAAGCAGGAAGAGCTGTGCTGCAAATGGAAGTGTGTCAGATTTGAGGGGGAAATTAAAGCTCAGGGACAGCACCTAGGCCCTGAGTTTGAGCCCCAACACAAACACCAAAAATGTTTCAGCTGTAAGTCACTATCTATAAGCTGTCCTCAAGCACACGCGTGCACACACACACACACACACTCACGCATGCGCGTGCACACACACACACACACTATACACACTTGGGTCATCTTCATCAAGCTTTGAGGTAAGACCTTGCGGAATTATATGTGTCTGGGTCTAGTCTCTAAGACTATCTTATTTTTAATCATGGAAAGGAAACAAGATTATTAGCTTGATGCCCAAGCTAATCCTGTACTGAGTCCTGCAGAAGATGGCTCTCAGCTAATCTGCTTCAAGTGCAATTTTGGGGTTCCTAGAGTTCTTTTCCATCAGCCTAGACTAATAGTTGGCCATCCAAGGATAAGGGATACAGTAACCAGTTTGGAAGATGTACTCTGTAATTAAATACCACCATTACCACCCCCAAGAACTGGGACTGCATCCACCTCAGCTTTATTGCTGATGGTTTTGATATCCAGAGAAGACAGGTGGCAGGATCAAGTTCACAGACGGCAGAGGGCTGAGCTTGGATCTATGTCTAGAAAACCATGCTCTAAACCAGTGCTCTTAAGCCACAGGAGGTCAAAGGAACGCAGCATTTCTAACAAGTGGCCGAACATCCCTGATGCTTCTAGCTGAAGGGTTGCCCTGTTATAGCAAGATTTCAGACACTCTTTTTGTGTGTGTGGAGGGGGGGGGTCCGGTTGTGGGGACTGAACTCTGGGCCTGGGTGCTGTTCCTCAGCTCTTCAGCTCAAGGCTAGCACTCTACAACTTGAGCCACAGCGCCACTGCCGGCTTTTTTCTTTTTGCTTATGTGGTGCTGAGGAATCAAACCCAGGGCCTCATGCATGCAAGGCAAGCACTCTACCACTGAGCCACCTTCCCAGCCTGATTTCAGACACTCTTTGTCCTAAATGATCCTCTCATGTTCAACCACTCACTGAAAGGCTCCATTGCCAGTTGTGTTAATTGAACTTTCTTTATAAGGTCGTGTTCACTTTTATCACCTCATCTTCTGCCTCTGT